AGCCGGGTGGCAGAGCAAGGGCGAGCCGAGGGCGGGGTTGCCGTGACCTACCCTGGAATTGAGGACGAGTGACGAGGGAGGAGGGCCATCGAGGGTGAGGGACGGAGACCGGATGGGGGGTAATGCACTGGGATCCCCGTGGCTCAAAGGGCTGTTGGGGCTGATGGAGGCCGCGGCGGACTCGGGCCCGGGAAACAGGCACATTTGCGCGAACGGTTCGCTGGTGCTGCTTTACAACACGCGTCCCAGTAATCGCACCAGCTGCCCGAGCTCCGGCCGCCGTGCGCGGGGCGGGGCAGACGGTGGGCTGAGCGCGGGGAGCGTGAACTGCGGGCCGCGGAAGGCGGGGTTATGGCCTGACGAGGTGGAGGGAATGGCGCGGGCCTGGGCGCGGGAAGAGCCGAGCAGGTCACGGGGAGCGGAGTTCAGGGAAGTGAGCACAGGGCCTGAGCATCCTCTCTGCTGCGTGTTCTGTCGCGGCCGCGAAATCACCACTAACCGAGTGGCCATAAGCACGGCCATTTCTTACCTCCCGGCTGTGCAGGTCCCACGTCCCGCATGTCCTCAGGGATGTGCAGGGATAAGGCGTGGACAGGTCTCGGCTCCTCGCCCGGGGCTCGGGGAGAATCCACTGCCAAGTGCATTCACTTGGTTGTCTGAATGCAGGTTCCTGCAGGTGTAGGACTGAGGTCCCCATGTCCTTGCTGGCAGTCAGCTGGAGTCACCCTGAGCTCCTACAGGGAGGGAGGGGGAGAGAGAGAGAAAAAAAAATCGATGTGAGAGAGACACATCCATGGGTCGCCTCCCACGCCGGAGGTGACCTGGGCCTGGGAGTGAGCCCGCATACCAGTCATGTGCCCTTGACCAGAATCCAACCTGGGACACTTCTGTGCGTGGGCCAACACTAACCGCTGAGCAACATGGGCCAGGGCAGGGGAAATTATATTTTTAAAAAGCGTTAGAAATGGTTACCTAAGAAATATGTTGTAGCCCTGGCTGGTGTGGCTCAGCGCCTCAGTGGATAGAGCGCAAGCCTGCGGAAGAGTCTCGGGTTCAATTCCTGACCAAGGGCACGTTCCTGGGTGGCCCTTGAGGTTTCATCCCCAGCTGGGTCAGGGAGCATGCAGCTGGCAACCAATGCATGTGTCTCCCTCACATCGATGTTCCCCCCCTTCCGCTCTCTCTAAAAATCAATGGAAAAACAGCCTCGGGTAAGGATTCACAAAAAACAACAAAAACAAAAAATCAGGTTTGGGGATCAGGAACCAAAGGGCAAAAGGAGCCCCCTGTGCTGCCCACATAGGCAGAGCTTGTTACCCAGAGCGGCCTCTGCCAGGCCGGCCGAACACCCTCAGCGGGGATGCAGCCCCAGCGCTGGTCAGGCCCAGGAGGGGCCCCGCCAGCTCCAGGGCCACACCTGGGCGCGCCTGCCCCCCTCTGGACCCTGAGGGTGACAGCGCCTTTCACCTCTGCTGCCGGCAGGTCTAAGAAGTCCTGAGGGGAATCCCCCCGGGACCAGTCCTCAGGAAGAAGCCTTTGGAAGGGAGGGAGCCGGGTCGGCCACGGTGCTGCCCTGGTTGAGAGCAACGACGTGGTCACCCCCGACTCTGGATCTAACACAGAGGTGGACACGAGGCAGGGTCCTGCCAGGAGCCCATTCGCCTTCCTCTCGGCCTGATTTGCACACGTGGTAGGGATCGACTTCAGACCTTCTGGAATCTTCACCCCCAGCCCGGTGCAGCACACACAGGATGCGTCCTGGGAACTGACAGGCCCTCCCGGTGGCGCCTGTGTCCAGCCCGCTGGTGGGAGCTCCAGACTCCAACTACAGCTGAGACTCTGGAGGCCCTGGTGAACTTGACTGTGGCTGGGATGGGTAAGTCACACAGCCCTGGCTGTCCTCCTGAGCTCTGGGCCCAGCAGCCTCCTGTCACAGAACGTTCTGGATCATTGCAGCAGTTCAGCTGCATGGAGTGCAGAGCCACCGCTGCCACCTAATGGACACGGAAAGAGTGAAAGAGGTCAGCGGGGCTCCAAGGGCAAACCCTCTGGGTTCCACCCCAGCTCCACCCCCCCTGGCCCTCTCTGAGTCTCCTTCCCCC